ACGAATATATGTATGAATAAATGAGATTTTTTAATAAATAGCGCAAAAAAGGCGTGAAAAATAGTTAGGCACCCACAATGATATCAATAAATGACTTGAAAGAAGTACACAAACACACACAGTAAGGCTTTTAAAATTCGATCTAAATTAGGCATTAAATGGCACACAAACGATTATTCCAATAAATGAATAATAAAGAGAGAAAGAGAGAAAAAAAGAGAAAGAGAAAAAGAAAAAGAAAGAAGTAAAGAGAGAAAGAGAGAACAGAGAGAGAACAGAGAGGTAGAAAAAGGTGTTTTTCAATCACTTTTTGTTACAATGGAGCAGAAACTTCGAGATGTAGGTGGCAAGGTGCACTGGCTTTGCGTACCCCAACAACGACTCTGGTTTTACAGGGTCTGCCAGAAAAGAAAATTATCAAATTAATTATTATGATAATTATAGTCATATTTACTAATATTATTTACTGTGTTAATGATTTATTCAAAGATCGATGGAATAATAAAACGGGTTAGTAAAGAAATGAATGTATGAATGTATGAATGAATGAATAAAAGAACTAACGAACGAACGAACAAACGAACGATTGAATGAATGAATCAAAAAATAGGCAGATGAATGTTTGGATGAAAAAATCGATTGTTCAATTTGTTAAAAACTTTGACAAGAGTCTGCTAATTTATAAAACAAAAAATATATTAAACTAACTAAAAAACTTGATTAAAAATAATAACGCCGATGAAAATAACATTGTTATAATTATTTTTAATAAAATCGTTAAATTAAATTTTATTCTATATTTTCTTACGAACGGGGCATCAAATATGCCTTTAAATTCCCAAATATGCTTGATGTTACAGAATCGCCATCTCTGTCTGGCATCATTATCAGAATCAACGATCATCATCGTCGTCGTCATCATCATCGTCATCGTCAGCCCATTCATCCGTAGAGTTTTGTAGAACGTTAAAGTTAACGTACTTACGTACAAACTGCTTCGTCTCAACGAGATAAGATGTAATATCAAAGATATCTCGAGATGGTAAACATTATCATAAGTATAATTATTATTCACGATACTAATTATAATAAATTATGATAATGCGATTTTTTTTATGCACATGAACATGAGAAAAAACTGTCTCACCCAACTTGGATTTGAACACAAGAACGAATGATTCAGTTTGGAGTAGTGAGGCTAAAGTTCCTAGTGTATCTTCATCCGTGACCTGGTGATGATGATGGTGGTGGTGAGGATGATGATGATGACAATGATGATGATGATGACAATGATGATGATGGTGATAAAGATGACGATGATGGTGATAATAATGATAATAGCGATAATGGTGATAATGATGATGACGATGATGATACCTTCTTATATTGCTTGTTGGAGATTTGACTGGCGGTTGCATTTAGAATTCCATTCATTGCACAGTCCATCATCAAATTGCAACAAATCGTCCCGATCACCAAATTACTGACAGGAAGATGATGAGGATGAAGATGAGGACACACACACATACACACACACATGCAGATACACACACACAGATACACACACATTTACAGACAGACAAACACACACACACCTATCAGATACGACGGCAAATTCTAAAGAGCTTTTCTTCAGTTCCTCAACGACGCACTGGACCAGCATGTCTGGCGCTATGTGGTGCACTTTGGCCAGTTCCAATTTTCCCACTTTCATTGATTTCCATCTTTGAAAAAAGATTGGATGTTTCTCAATCAATCAATCAATCAATCAATCAATCAATCAATTAATTAACTAATTGGTCAATCAATCAACTAACTCTTGATTGACAGCCGGAAGTTTGTCAGTCTCCAAAAATGACCTCGCTCTCATCCAATCATCGTTCAAATGTTTGGTCCTATTGAATGAATGAATGAATGAATGAATGAATGAATTAATTAATTAATTAATTAATGAGTAAATGAATGAACGAATTAATTAATTAATTAATGAGTAAATGAATGAACTAAAAAATAAATAAAAAAAATTAGTTAACCAACGGATGCCCACGATAATCGAATTGATAAACGAACGAACAAATGAATGAACGTCAAAACAAAAAATTAACTATTTCCCAATCTAATTACCATAAAATATTACAACCACTAACTGACCAACTAGCTAATTAACATAAAATATTATAATTAAACACGCACATGTAATTCCTAATTGAGTCAGGCAGGATGACGACGACGCGTTTGTCCGGGCCCAACTTGTAATCCTTGGCAGCCTGAACCGCGCAGTACATTATGGAGCCACTACTGCCACCTGTTGAATATTAATTATAATAATATTAATATTATTAAGAGAGAGAGAGGAATGAAGAAAGAGGGAGAGAGAGAGAGAGAAAAAAAAATATATAATTTTACATGAAATAATTAAATAAAATAGTCTTTCATAAGAGAGAGTGAGAGAGAAAGATAGAGAATGTAAAATATAGAAAAAAGAAGAGAAAAAAAAGGGAGAGAGAATAATTATAATAAATGAATAAAATAATATGGCGTAATCATTTTCAGTGACCGCATAGCAATCCCTCCTGCCTTATTAGACGCCTGGCCATGATGAATGATGGCTTATCTTCCGATTTGTACCATCTGTCCACGTACTGGATGAATGAAAAAATGAATGAATGAATGAATGAACGAATGAACGAATGAACGAATGAATGAATGAATGAATGAACGAATGAACGAATGAACGAATGAATGAATGAATGAATGAATGAATGAATTGGAGAATCGAAGAACCAATGAATGAATTGAAGAATCGAAGAACCAATGAATGAATTAAAGAATCGAAGAACCAATGAATCAATAGATAGATAGATAGATGAATAAATGATTAAATAATTCACCCATGAGTGAATGAATGAAAGAACAAATAAACATATTCATTTTTCATCTCTCACCTTTCTACAAAAGACAGTAGGAAGAAAGTCGTACCCGATGCCTTCAACTTCGTAAAAAGTTTTATCCGTAACGTTCAGTTCCTTCGGTTGTGCTAGAATGGAGCCAACAGGGTCCACACCTATGATCTTCGGTTTGTTTGTTTGTGTGTTTGTTTGCCTGTTTAATTGTTCGTTTGTTTGTTTGTTCATTCATTCGTTCGTTCTATTCTATCCATCATCTATTAATTTCTATATTAAAAAAATATTATTAAGATATCTTCATAGCCAAACAATCAAACGAACTACCAGCCAGCCAGCCAGCCAAGCAACCAACCAACCGACCATCCAACCAATCATTTAACCAACCATCCAGCCAACCAATCATTCAACTAACCATCCAACAAACCAACTAATCATCTAGCCAACCAACCAACCATCCAACCAACCAACCATCCAACCAACCAACCATCTTTTTAACCAATCATTCAACCAACCATCCAGCCAACCAACCAGACAGCTAGGAATCTTCTCCTTTATCTTCCTGGCCAGCCCTGCAATTGTTCCTCCAGTCCCAGCCGCACACACCAACATATCCAACTTTCCTGTCAAAAATAATAATAATAACAATAATAATAATAATAATAGTAATAATAATAATAATAATAATAATAATAACGTTATTATTATTATTATTGCAATTAATAATCAGGACGTCTGATCTATCAGTCGCCATTTCTGAATAAATTATGATAATGAATTTATGATAATTGGTTTCACTCATCCACTTTACCATCGCAATCCTGAATTATTTCTTCAGCCGTTTCGTCGTAATGTGCCAACGGGTTGGCTGGGTTCCTGTACTGATAATGATGGCAGTAGTGGTGGTGATGATGATGATGATGATGGCAGTGGAGATGGTGATGATGACGATGATGGTTTCTGTAATTTTTAAATCATCAGCGTTCATTCAGTACCGCATCATCTGCTCCCTCAATCACCATCATCATCATCATCGTCGTCACCATCATCATTGTCACCACCATCATCACCATCATTATCATCACCTGATCAAGCACGTGGGAGTTCGGGATTTCCCGAAGCAGCCTTGCAGCGACACGCATGTTCGAATCCGGAGAATCGAAACTGGCACTGGTCGGGGTCCGTATGATTTCCGCTCCCAACGCTTTCAACACATCTACCTGACCATCGTAACAACCATTAATATTATTATTATTACTATTACTATTATTATTATTATTATTCTAATTATTTAATTATATTACATTAATATTATTATTACTATTATAAATTATAATAACGATGACGTCATGACTGACTTTTTCTTTGCTCATTTTCTCTGGGAGGACGATGATGCACCTGTAGCCCTTGACAGCGGCCACCAGGGCTAGACCTATCCCTAATTTATTTTTATACAGAGAAGGTGCTATTGTCATAGTTTACCAAGTATTAGAAAGAAAGAAAAAGAGGGAAAGTGAAATAGAATAGAAAGAGAGAGAGAGGAAAAGAGAAAGAGAAAGAGAGAGAGAGAGAGACGTAGAGATAAAAAAGATAGACAGACGGTTCATGATTGTTGCCGTTATTATCACCACCATCATCATTATTATTATTATCATTATTATTATTATTATTATTTATTATTATTATCATTATTTCTAACCAGTATTTCCGGATGTTGGTTCGATTAAGGTGTCGCCAGGTTTCAAGCGACCGCTTTTCTCGGCTTCTTCAACCATTCTTGTAGCGATTCTGTCTTTGATGCTACCACCGGCGTTGAAAAATTCACATTTCGCAACTGCGTGTGTTTGTGTGTGTGTGTCTTGTCTGCATGTGTGTGTGTGTATGTGTGTGTATCTGTGTGTGTCTTAAGTTTGTTGTGTATCTGTGTGTGTGTGTGTGTGTGTGTGTGTGTGTGTGTGTGTGTGTGTGTGTGCGTATCTGTTGTGTATGTGTGTGTGTGAACGATTCTGGCTTGATAATATCTCAATATCTGTGTAACACTCCCAAAAATTATTGCTGTTACAAATACAGTAACATTCATCAGCCACTATCTAACAGTAGAAATGACCGAAGCAGCAAATGTTAGTACCGATATCTTATACCGATGACCATCACCGAATACCGACTACCGAGTACCGAATACTAACGCATTTCGCACTGAACACCATCGTCTGCTGGTATTTTGTTCATGCGTACAAGAGGCGTGTTTCCTATTTGAGACAATACATTTGGGAAAATCTTTGGCCTTATTATGGATTCCCTAGTGACGACGACGATTATGATGATTGGTGATGATGAAGATGATTATGGTGGTGGTGGTGGTGATGATTATGGTGGTGGTGATGATGATGATGGTGGTGGTGGTGATGATAAAAATGATGACGACCGCGATAATGTCGATAACTTTATTTTGTGTTTTCATATGATATTACTGCTGTTACTTCTGCTGCTGCTTCTACTGCTTCCACAGTTACTTCTAAAACAACAATAACATCAGGAACCTTGGTCTGTGGGTGTGGGGTGAGTCCTTTATTGAAGTAACTCCGAGTTTGTAAGTACATCTACTTGGTTGGTCGGGCCGAATCCAGTCGTTCGTCGTTGATGATGAGGTTGTTGCTGATTTTTCTGTTTGTTGTTGTTGTTGTTGTTGTAACTCGGACTGTGTTGCATAGCCATTGGAAGCCATGTTTGATCTGTTTGTTTTTTGTTTGTTCGTTTGTTTGTTCGTTCGATGGTTTGTTTGTAAAAATTTTATTAATTGAATGTTTGACGTCTGTCGCCTGTTTGTTATTGAACACATTTTCGTCCGATTAGTCCTCTACATCAGTAACAAAAAAAAACATAAACGCTACCAACCTAAGGACAGCAGGCAATGAGGAAAGATTATTGATGAAATTTGCTTATTGGGACGAAAAACGTGTTTAGTTTTCAGGTGGCTGAAATTTGTTTTAATATACAACACGTTTTAATAATGTGTGTGCTGATTCACGTTTGATTATCATCTCTCTTTCGCTCTCTCTCTTTTTTCTCTTTTCTTCTTTCTTTCTCTTTCTCTCTCTTTATCTATAGATACATACAATCGAGGACTCGTACATACATACATTCATTCATACATACATACATACGTACGTACGTACATACATACATACATACATACATACATACATACATACATACATACATACATACATACATACATACATACATACATACATACATACATACATACATACATTCATACATACATACATACATACATACATACATACATACATACATACATACATACATACATACATACATACATACATACATACATATATGCATACATACATGTATGTATGTTTGTGCAACTTTCAAAGCAAGAAAGTTGCTGCCCGCTGAAAATTATTCCGTTAGTGGAAAGTTTTGTAAGCTAAAGTACTGTACTCTTGAGCCTATGTATAGGAATGTATGTATGTACACATGTGTGTATGTGTGTGTGAGTGTGTGGATGTGTTAGCGGAATGTGTGTGTACGTGTGTGTGTACGTGTGTGTGTACGTGTGTGTGTGCGTGTATTTACATGTGTCCATGTTTTAGTTACTATTTGAGGTGAAAATATAGATCCAAATGAAAAAAAAATATCTTCCGTAAAACTAAGTTACTGTGTAAAAATGATGAAAGAATTAATGGCGTTGTATCATCAAACATTGCTCCATCTTACACACACAGACACACACACATACATACACGCACACAATACACACACGCACGCACGCACACACACATACACATACTTTCCATAACCTCCAGTAGATTACACGGGGTATATTAATCTTGAGAGTAAAAGTATTATCCTTAATGAAATTTTATAAGTAATTGAGGATTGGTGCTTGCTTGTTTGTTTGTATGTATGTGTGTGTATGTATGTGTGTGTGTGTGTGTGTGAAAAACTCAATATATGTTTTATTTTAATTATATTTCATTGTCGTTTTAGATTAGAGTTGCATCATCTGATTCAAGATCAAACATCGGTTTTGTTATTGTTATTATTGTTATTAATATCATTGTTATTATTATTGTTATTGCTGTTATTATTATTATTAGAGGTAGCAGTAGTCGTAGTGGTAATAGTTGTAGTTGTGGTTGTAGTAGTAGTAGTAGTAGCGCTGATGTCGTTTTGTTATTGTTTATGTTTTGCTTTATCCCATCTTAATTTTTATTGTTTTTGTTATCTTCGGAGAAATTTTAATTTTTATAGCGTTAAACTTCACTACGATTATTCTAATTCGACTATAATTAATAACAACGATAGTATAATTTCATTAAAAAAAATTTAGACTCTTTGGTGGTCTCGTGGTACGTTGCTATGGTAACCAATGCATACACCTGGATTGTATTTTGATGTTGCCAAGGTAAATATATATATATATATATTATAATTATAAATTATAATATAATTTTGAAATTATGATTTAGGAGCATTGATGTATGGTGTTAATGTTACACCAAGCGTATTATAATCAATAAAATACTGTGATTATTATATTCGTATTATGAGACCGTGCGGAAAGTATTTTATTAAATTATTTTAATAAATTAAGGGTTTATTCTATAATTTTTTGAGATATTTTCATACTTTTTTGATTACTTTGTTTGAAGGAAAGACGTCTTTATAATGGTGAGGCTGTTTGGATTTTGGAATAAAATTACTGAAAGAGATGTTTTTGTGGTGTTTGTGTGATGTTGTTTAGTGGTTTTTTGAACAATTTTTTCACCATCAGCCAGGCAGTTCTCTCTCAGAGACAATAAGCCACACGTCAACAACGTCAACGTACTACAACAACAACAATTACAACAACAACAACAACAACAACAACTCATTTTATCAAAATGGCAATCAAAATTTATTCCTTAGCAAACGTTCTAAGACTAGGCATTACTTTAAAGTTGCGCCAGTTTCACAGGTTTGCTCTATTCCTCAATTAATTTCATGCTCAAGCAAATTTTATTGAAAAAAATATAGAGAAGGATTATCTAAATTTAAATATATTAATACTAGGTTGATGAAAGTTTATTCGGGAACACTAAACCAAAAAGTAATAGCTGTAAAAACAACAACAACAGTAACAGCAACGAACGAAATTTAGCATTGAGGAGAGGGCTGACGCAAATCGAGAGGCAAGCCGATGAAAGAAATAAAACCAGAAGAAGTATTAGCGCCAATGTTATTAACAACAATGACGACGACGGTGACGTCACCGTTAACAATAGATACCAAAACAATGATAAGAAATTCTACCAGCATAATAAGTAATTTGTCTTTTACTAATTTATTTGTAACTCTCTTATCTATCTGTTTACTTACAAACTTGGGACAAAGTAAATTTAAATTAGCACATAAATAACGAAATCATAAAAAACAAATTTCAATGATCTAACAATTTTGTTATACAAACACACGCCCAACTCATACACTCGCGTACGGAAACGTTTCTAGCACCAACAAGCAGTCAGAAAATGTTGCGAAACCACTGATAATGGATAGGGAGAGTTTCGAGAGACTGATGTGCGCGGCTACAATCAACTATCAACAAGTGCTTCAGAGGCAAAAACATGAAGAACAGCTAAGGAAGGAACAACTTTTGGTCCGTAAATTTACTTTTTTTTACAAACTTTCTTTACAAAAATTACAACATCATTTTTTCTACTTTTTTTTAAATTCTCTCTTTAATATTTTCCGATGTATCAATAGCAAACAAGGCATGCATTCATACGTTGAACGTAATAAGCGGAGATCGCTTAGCATTTGAATCACGTCACTGCAACAGAACAGCCAAGCATCATAACCATTAAGCCATCACTTTTTGATTTATTTTAACAATTTCCAGATGGATGCCCAAGCGAGGAAGGAGCACATAAAAGATCTAGATAGATCGAGAAAGCAGAACACGAAACTTACTGAGTTTGAGCTGGAGGAGCAAGAGAAAAATGAGTTTATGAAGAAGAAGGCCCTGGAGATGTTGACGGAACAGGAAGAAGAGATCAAAGAGTTGAACGGGGTTAGCACCAAATAATAAATCAGAGAAAGAGAGAAAGAGAGAGAAAGAGAAAGTTAACAAATTTCATGATCTGTATGCTGTGTGACATTAGTAACTTGAATGTCTGAATGTATAATTTTGCGTGCATGTGAGATGCTGAATGCTTATCAAATGCTGTGAAGCAATTCAGTGAGAAAATTGTAATGTTTCAAGAATTAGATAGAGTTAGTGAGCAACCAACCAACTAACATATAATGCCATGCTACTAAACGTGATGTCATTTTATTTTTCGAACAGCTGATCTTAGATGCGAAATGCCAAATAATCAGAAACGCACAAATTGCAGAGAAGCAGGCGATTCAGCGAGAGATGGAGAACGAAGAGAGAAAGATGGAGATGTTGATGGAGTTGGAGAGGGTAAACGCTCAAAAAGCTGAAGATGATCTGGAAAAAAGAAAACGAGAAGAGAAAATGATCGGAGCTCTGAATATTCGACAACAAATTGAACAAAATGAACAAGTATAAAAACATTAAAAGATTTTTGTTCAATGATTGAAATGTTTTATTAATATTTGAAATGCCTCCTAGGAGAAGTTACTAGAATTGGAGCGCAAGGACCAAGAGAACAGAATAATGCAGAAATATCTGGACCAACTGTGCGAGGAGGAAATCGAAAAAATAAAAAAGAAAAAAATTGAACAACTGAAACTACGGACTGATCTGAAGAACGAAAATGAGAACATCATCAAAAGGAAAGAGATCTCAAAGATTGAAGAACAAATTCTCGACCAGCAAATACTGGAGTTTCAAAACGCAAAAGCGGTTAGTGGTGCATTTTATGACAAATATCTACAAGAGGGATATTAAAAAAGTTTTTTCAAAAAACAGGAGCGCGAAGCCATCTTAGAACGAGAACGTTTAGAGGCGAGAGCAGCGAAAGAAAGAGAGATAGCGAGGTTGCGCTCCTTGCAAGAAAGAAAAAAAGACGAACTGGCCGAGAGAGACGAGTTGAGGGCGAAGAGAGCTCAGGAGCAGAATGAAAGAGAATGGAGAAAGAAGGAAGCAGAAGCTGCGGCGAGGAAAGCCGCCATTGAAGCCGCTTTGAATGAAGCCAGGGAGCAGCAATTGAAACAGAAACAAATATCGAGAGCCATGCAGGCCCAGTGGGAAAAGAAGGATTTTGAAAGAGTTCTAAGGTTTCTATCCCGTTGATTATTATTTTATGCTGAAATTCTTCAAAACTTAAATATCTCCTTAACTCGTTCAGAGCGCAGATGGAGCAAATTGAAAAAATGAAAAAAGAAGAAGAGAATGTGAAAATAAAGAGAGGAGAATTTTCAAACGAAATCAAGAACCAGGTTAGAAAATGTTTGAAACCTGTTATAAATATCACCTTATGATTTAAATTTTCTCTGAAGCACCATACACACCATGGAAATATATCCATGATACACACACCTTACAAAAATAACGAGCGTCAAATAATATAACAGATACGCGAGAAAGAGCGCACGAAAATATTGGAGAGGAGCAAATTCTTTGAGGAAGGCATCAAGTTGAGTGAGGAAGCCAAGCAGAGGAAAGAAAAAGTGGACCAAGTAAAATTGAAGAAACTGCAAGAACTAAGGTCGGTTCAATTAAAATCGCTGTATAAAATTATTTTACTAATACTTAACTCTCCTCAAATTTTGCAAACTTCAAATTTAACCATTCTCTTTCAATTCAACGTAAATGAATAACTTATTCAACCAAACTCATCCAACAAAGACGACACACACTTTTCAAACTGCATCCACACACTGATAAAAATACTGCTACCTTAAAATAATTGCTAATGGCAGAATTAAATTTTAATTTCGAAACGAAACAGAGACGCAGGAATAGAAGAGAAGTATCTCGTTCAGATTGAGAAAAAAATTAACAACAACGGGAGTGGCCAACGTATCATACCTCCTCTGGGCAACATCTGAAAAATTTTTCGTCCTAATGTAATATTATCCAAACGTGCACCGTCACATTTGAAATATATCGAGATTAATTTTTATAAAACGTAAATTTATTTATAAGGCCGCATGTATTTACAAAAGCAATGCCATTTATTGTTTTGTACCGTATTGTTTCATTTTGTTTGATCGTGTGAAATAAAGCAAACTTGAACCGTTGAGTTGTATGCGGTGAATTGAGCTGTAACTCTGTTTGAAATTGAATATAATACTAACTAACAAGTGAATCACAATAACAAAAATTATTTCCTATTCAGTAAAATTCAATCAGCTAGTCCATTCATTCATTCATTCATTCATTCATTCATTCATTCATTCATTCACGTTTTTTTAATTATTCATTCAACCATTCATTCATTCCATTATTTATCCGTTCATTCATTCATTCATCCACATTCATCTTCGAATCACTCCTCCAAGCAAATTCACAACCGACGGCCAGATGATCAGACGGAAAATACTGATTGGGCAGAGCCGTGTGTGCAGTCACCTCCTCATGGGAGGGCAGAGGGATGACCTTCAGTGCATTCAAACCCGAGGCGTATATGTAGTCGAGGCAACCATTAAAACCCCCAACGTAATTCGTGTAGCGAGAAAACCCAGTGGCGTTAATAAGGTCAAGTTCATGCTTTAAATGTAGGTCAGGTACATATTCCTCACCGCCTCCTGTGAGATAGTTTGGAAATAAATTTCAATTGCACAAATCTATGCAAGGCGTTATATAATAACTTTAATATCATAACTATAACAATTAATAACATCTAATAACTTTAGATTGCAATATAATTAAATATTAATATGTCTAAGACCTGAGAACCAATCAGCATGAGTTGGCGAGACTTCCTTGCCTAATAAATATTCATGAACCCCACTGCTACTAGAGGCATTTAGATCTCCACAGTATATCAGCGATGGAGAAATGTTCTAAAAATAAAAAAACTAGCAATTATAACTGTTATAACATAAATCTCTAAACATGATTTAGAACCTTTTCAACTTTTATTCTTTCAATCAACGTCTGCAGATAGCTTATGCAGAGATGGGATTGGAGCAGTCTTATATTAGAAGCCCTAGGATGAAAATATAGGTGAACTGTAGCTACAATGAGGAAGTTCGTCGGATCAGAATGGCTCTGAAATAAGGTGGTCTGAGCGATAAGAAAGAATTATTATTATTATTAGTAGTAGTAGTTGTTGTTGTAAGTCATATAAAAAATTATGAATCATAAGTAAGATTATGACAGAAAAATCTGGTTTTTAATCTAGTTTATTTGCAGTAATAGAAGCTATAAGAGTGAGCTAATTATCATATGACACACAGGCACACAGCTACAAATGCAAATATTGACGTATATATAAATGTTATCTACATATACGTTAATTATTATGAAAACTGATCTTGTTTCATTTATAGAAACCTGTAAAACAGAATTTCTGCTGGTGAACTTTTCAAAAAATTTAGCATTTTTTGAAATTTTGTCCACTATATCCTTATTTGAATCATTCCCAGCTAGGTATTCAGCGAGACCAATGTCGTAGGATTCGATATACCTGTAAATAATTACTTCATTATTACTACTTATTCACCTTACTCAATAAAATCATGTTAAAATGCAATTTACACAGCTAATACAAATGATACAAAAACAAATGATACCTTCATAAGTAAATACAACTGATACAACTTCTAATACCACAAATTTAACACTAACAACTCACTTGAACTTTGACCTCCTAAAAAAAGTGGCACAGCCCTCTGCAACCTCTCCTAATTTCATTTTCATGAGCCCTTCCATGTCTAATTTTTCTAAAATTGGCTGAAGTTCGAGGTCAAATATTTTTTTGTCCACTTCTTGCAGACAGATCAGGTCGGCATTATAGCCTGTATAAAAGTGAATTAGGATAAAAATTATATTATTAAGAGAAGAAGGGAAAGAACAATCACCAATAATTTCTTTAATTAGTAACTGTTTTCTATAGTTGATGTCCAGAAACTGTGGTGGGCAGTATGGAAATAGAAATGACCTTGAAAAGTCTGAATCTGCATAAAGGTCAGCCAAGATGTTGTAACTAATAACTCTAAACCTAAAATTAGGGAAGAAGTTTTTTTAGAATTGATAAATTTGATAATCTGGTTTATAAACAAAATCAACAAAGAGCAACAAACTTTTGTATTATTTAAAAAAATTGTTATCCTAAAATCTTACCTATCTTCACTAGTCAATGATTTAGTATGTTGGTGCCTTTTTTCAAATGGGCAATTGATAGGGCCTTCAATGATTGGATGTTTGGAAATGACCTCAACCTCTTCACCTAATCTCTCTCCATTCTTAGGTTGGCAAGTTATTTTAATATGGAGGCCAACTTGTACATCAGATGGTAGGAAAGTTGGATTGGTTGAAACCAGTGACCAATTTTCTGGTGATCTTTTGGGAATTTTTTTAGGTTTAGCATGGGTGGATTCATTAAGTGAGTTAGAATCTTTTACTTCAACATACCACTTGATGTCTGAATCTTTGGTGTCTGTGAATTCTACAGATAAGTTGGCATATATTGGATAACCTGACATCAGTACCACTGGCAGAGATAATTCAGTGACAGCCGGGGGGTTAAGATCGACTTTAAATTGAAAATTCCCTAAATTCAAATACGATCCTTGGACCCAAGCCTCTTTATTTGTTAGCTTGCTATCAACAAGCTCATTATCAATGTTATATAGCTCAATTTTTAACACATTCTCATCTTCTACACATACCCGGCCATTTTTATTGACACTATCTACATCTGAATTATCCTCCTGAATGTCGGAATTCTTTTTGTTTTTCTTTTTGTTTAATTTAAATAACTTTTTATTCACTTCTTTTGAGATGCTGGCAGTAATTCTTGAGAGAGCCTTCTCCAAGTCTTCACTTTTAGGCCTGCTGAAGTTAAAAACTCGCGCTGATAAATTTGGATCTTCCGGATTCAGATTATAATTTAATTTCATTTGCATACGATCCTCGCCTGCCACGTTTCGTACGATTATTTTCTCGCAATTCTTCATCATGTAAATCTTATTCTCCCGTTTGATTAAATTTTTTAAAATTTTAGACTTTGCGAGAAAATTGAATTTATCTAAAATTTTTAAATTGTTGATAATTTTAGTTAATACGATGAAGGCATCAGTGCTTTTAAACATTGGCTCACGCGCAAAACTAAATTTATTAGTTGAAGTTTTTCAAATTTACAACGAACGATAATAAGTCCCAGCGATATTGCAAGATCAAAAGTAAACATAGTGCAATTGTTTATTCTATGTTCTAATGTCAATATTTATGTTTCATTTTTAGTTACTTGCACATGTTTTGGTTTTTTCAAGTTAGATTTTATCTTTCAGAAGCGCTGTCATGAATCGAAACAATTCGAACAGGCGAAATTTTAATAATCGGAACGATAATAGGAACGATAATAATTATAATTTTAATAGCAGCAACAACAGATTCAGAAACAACAACAGATTCAGAAACAACAGATTCGGCAGATACAACAATCGCAACGACGCCATCATGCAATCGAACCATCAACAACAGCAAAAAGTTTCACCATCACAATCTCAACTACCTCCTGAACGACAACAATTCATTCCCCAGTCAAACGTTGCACCGCCGTTCAACTATTTCCTACCACCAGCGACTCCAACAACGATCAACATCTTTCCAACTGCTTCATCAGCAACTCCTAATCAGCTGCCGGATTTTTCTAAACCACCTCCGCCTTTATTTTTGGGGCCACCCCCGCCACTGCCATTTCAGAATCCAGTGCCACAAATAACGACTTGGGGAGCGAATTATGGCGCATTTGTGAATTATGGACATGGTCAAGGACAGTTTAATAACATTCCAGCACATAATAATAATAATAATAATAATAGTTTTAATAATAATAATTTCAATTATGGTAATAATAAGCGTCCTCATTTCAATAATAGCGGAAGAAAAGTTAGTTTTTTATTTTATTCTTGCGAGTTAAAATTATGAACTTCAAAGGTTTTAATATGTTTTAATTATTTCTTTTCTACCCCAGAATAATAATAATTTTACAAAGAACAAGAAACCAAGGATTGACAAGAGGGATCTACCAGAGAACAATAAATTCATCTGCGAGGCTTGTGACAGGGGTTTTAAGACTCAACAACTCTTTGACGACCACGTCAGATCGCATGTAAAAGTTAGTATTGTTAAGTTGGACACCAAAAACTATTGACATATTGTTTTTATCATTAATAATATTATTTAATATATTATTACCATTGTTATACTAAAATTCGAAATGGTTTTTATTTCAGTGTAAAGTTGAAGGATGCATGTATGTTGCCCATCCAAAATTAGTGAAGATGCACTATGAGTTTGTTAGTTCTTTGCAATATATATATATACACATATATACTCTCTTCTTTCTCTCTCTTTCTCTCTCTCTCTTTTCATCATATATATATATATATATATATATATATATATATATATATATATAATGTACTGCCTTCGTTATAGCAACACTTGTCTGGGCTGGCAAAAAGAATCTGGAAGACAGAGACGGCCGAGGAGATCAATAAATGGATTTCTGAAAGAAAGAAGTATTTTTATCTTGTCGATTTTTGTTGCTATTGTCATTATTATTATTATTTATTATTATTGTTGTTGTTGTTGTTATTTTTCTTAGGAATTACCCAACCAGTGAGAACAAGATAAAGAAGGAGAGAGAGTTGGCTGAAAAGAGAGAGAGGGGTGAAGTCATCGAGAGAAAGTTTTTTGGGTGAGTTTGAGTATCTCAATATATATCTCAATATATATATATCATTTTTAGGTATCTATCATTTGTTTAGTATCATTCATCACCATTATTTTCATTACTTATTATCATTCCCCTTAATATTAAACTTTACAGAAAGCTAAGAAACAATAGAAGATACAATAATAATAATAATAATAAAAACAATAATAATAATCGAAAATATAACAATAACATTAGCATTAATAAAATGGAAAATGCATCATCTGATAGGTTTAACAGTAAGAATAATAATAACGGAAGTATTAGAAGTAGTAGCAGCAGTAATAGCGTGACGAAAAATGCTAGTTGTAATGATGATGATGATAATAGTAGCAGTGATGATGATGATGATAGTAGCAATGATGATGACGATGATAATGATGGCACTAGAAACTTGAATCTAAGCGTTGGTGTTGAAATGGAAAGTGAAACTAGCATAACTACAGAAACACCAAAGAGACAATTTATATCCAGCATTGACGACGGATGTAACGTTCATAATTATAATAATGATATTCATAATGATGATGATAGAGATGGTGATGATAGAGATGATGATAGCAGGGTGAGGGGTGTTGACAATAGCAGTGAAGTTCAAAAGCCGAAAGATTTCGATGATGAAGAAGTTAAAACTTTACCTAGTAAAACTTCCAAGAAAGAATTGATATGCGGTAATGATGGCAATACTTACGACGGATATAATAATAACAATAATAATAATAATGATGATGATGATAATAATAATGTTATCAAAAATGATAATGATGATGGTGGTGATGGTGACAATTGCTCTATAATTAAGGATGTTACAAATTTGAAAGATAATAAAGATACTGATGATGATACTGCTGATGATGAAAATAGAGGCAAGAGTAATGATAATGATAATGGTGATGATGATGGTGGTGGTGATGATGATGATGATATGGAAGATGGTGAGATTACGTCATCTGAAGAGGGTGTTAGCCTGTCTGGTAAGCAACGTATCAATATAAATAAGGTGAATAATAACAATAATAATAATAACAACAATAATAATAATAATAAAATAAAGAATAATAATAAAGTTAGTGGTAAAATCGAATTCAGCGCTGATGCTGGTTACTGCAGTGCAACGCAACCGTCACAAGATAACCTGGCTCCTTATAAATGCTTTGACAACAATAATCATAACAATAATAATAATAATTTTGATGATAATAATAATAATAATAATGATGATGACGATGATGATAACATCGGTGACGACGATGACGATTTGGACCAGCCGCTCATACGCTCGTCAAAAAAAACTGATGATGATACTATCAAAAATTATGATAATTATAATAATAATTATAATAATGATGGTAATGGTGATGATGCCGAAGATGCAAATGGGGAGGATTGGGATGATGGAGATGGTGAAAAACGAACGTCACTAACGAAGTCAGCTTGTGGTGACAGTTTTAATGTAGAAAGCAGCAAGAAAGATCGAGAACGTAGAAGACAGGATTCAAGAAACAACAACAATAATAATAATAAGAAGAAGAAGAATAAAAACAACAACAACAATAATAATAATAACAATAATAATGCTACTAAATATAATAGAAATAATAATAAAAACGCTGGTAACAATGGCAAAGTTAACAAGAGAAGTTCTTTGCTTGAAAAGGTTTCATTTCTTTATCCTGCTTTTTATATTTATTGTTATTGTTGGTATTATTCTTTTTATTTGAAATATTTATATATCGCATAAGGGTGAAAATAATTACGCGTGGTAATTTACAAAAAGGAAGCGTTCATCTTGTCGCCATTTTCCAGTTGTTATTTTTATCAATTAAATTCGTAAAATTAACATAATTTATGCACCCCCACTATAGTTACTGGCCAATGAGATTCGACACGAGAGGAACGTCATTATGCAGTGTGCCAGATTCGTGCTGAAGAAACTCGACGGAGCAGAAGACACAATCTCCGATAGAACACATTAAAGAGAAGAGTTTTATTTTAGTTTAGATTTTCTTACTAATTATTATGATTATTATATACAATGGAATGAACATCGGTAAAAACATGTAAATTTTGTTAATTATTCTATATTCGCTGTTGAGTATGTTTTTTGGATGCTTTCTTTTAATAAATCAAATGTTTTTATTGGTGCCTGATGTTGAAGTTTTATTTTTAGAAGCGGGCTCATCTTTACAGTTTTATGTAGGGCAGTTGTTAGATTTCTGTTGCTATTAAAACGTACATAGAAATTAACGCGTTTGTATTACATACAAAAAAACTTAATAAATGCAAGTATACGCAATTATATAAATACAGTATTGCATATCTATTTGTATATGTAGTATATAGTCGATTACAATATATGTGATTATACTTAAAGACAATTGTATAAAATCAAATATAGAGTATATTCTATACACATAACTAGAATGTATGTTTTTATACCTACAGAAATCTAACAACTGTGAAGATTCTATATGTATAAATTAAAAATATTTAAATCTAATGCTTATCTTAAAATACAATGGTATTCAAACTGTATTTCACTTTTAGTTGTTTAAAAGTAAATCTGTTACCATAGTAATAAATTAATAATTCGATCGTCGTTGAATTTGTTGTAACAAAATAATAATTTAAGTGCCATATTTTAATTTTTTTAAATATTCTTACATTTTAAATAATATTTTTATGTTAGAGTATTGTTGTTATAACTAAAAGATGAAGCTTAAGCGATTTTTATTACGATACTATCCGCCAGGTTAGCGTTGTTACATAAAGTAAACTAAGATAAATTAAAAATAAAGTTAGGTTCGTTAAGGGTTATGGAAAATAATTTTTTGATACTAAAATAATATTTTAGTCATGTTATTTATATTATAAAAATTATGTTATAATATATTATAACTCTGTAAAAAATTTATCCATAAATAAGTTATATTATAATTTCAAAATCATGAAATTATATTATTATTTCATAAAAATTAATTATTATTATTTGTTAATTAATTCAATTATAATTTTAATGATTTTTTTGTAATTTATTAGGAATAATTTTGGAGTATGAGAGAGGTGGTATCTTGAAGACAAAGTCTATTGATTTGATAGACTTGAAACCAGAGTATTATATACTTTTCTGTTACAACTTAGTATAAATACTTTGATTTAACTGTTTAACAAGCAGTCAATTTTTCAAGATCTAATGGACTAAAAAGACAATTATGACTTATGATGAATAATTACGACTTTTTTTTATAATTAATAATATTTTATGAAAATAATCACAATTTTATAGCACTGATGTTGATGCTTTAGCATTGGAAATTGCTAGAACAGAAGTTTTAGTGACGCCTTCAAAAATTGATCAAATTAAAGTTTTAATTACAAGTTTGTGGCTGGTTGGTTGACTGGTCGGTCGGTTGGTTGATTAATTGATTGATCACTTGTTTGTCAGTCAGTTAATGTTATAAACCTTTTTTATAGTGAGATTTTTTCAATACTAGTGAAACGAAATTATTTTTCTCTATTTGTTAATAGGACTTCAAGAAAAGCTTCTTTTGCCAGAGAATCAAAAGTTTTATCTATTCAAAGTCAGCAAATTTAATTTTCATAATCGTAAAATCACGATCGCTATTATATAGATAGTAATTTTATTTCTCCAGGTCCTCAAAGCTCACCTACTTCCTCTCACCAACGTAGCCTTCAATAAATCTGGATCAAAGTAAGTAATAATGTTTCAAACAGACATCCATACACCCACAGACACACACGTACGCAAACGTACGCACGCACACACACACAAACGCACATACACACATTTCGAAATTAGCTTCATAACCGGAAGTTACGATAGAACTTGTAAAGTTTGGGACACGGATTCCGGAGATAACTTGGCAGTCCTGAGGGGACACACAAACGTCGTCTACGCCATTGCTTATAATAATCCTTTCGGGTTGGAAAAAGAATCGTTTTTATAATTATGTCTTGATGGTTTGAAGGTTAAGATGCCTGGCACCGCTGTCAAAGTGACCGCGTTCGAATGCAAACAGATTTCCGTTTGTGACATGTATCCTTGTGTAATGCGTTCATTCATTTGTATTATCTACAGCGCTTGATGATATACCTAACCAATACTAAAGATATAATTATAAAAAATTATAATTATAAATTATTATTAATATTACAAATTATAGCAATTATTATTATTATTTTTGAAGGGACAAAATAGTGACAGGTTCGTTTGACAAGACTTGCAGGCTGTGGGATGCACAGACTGGCAAGTGTTACTACACTATAAAAGGACATGATGCCGAAGTGGTCGGTTGTTCGTTTGTTTGATTGATTGATTGGTTGGTTGGCTGACTGATTGATTGATAATTAGCTGATTAATTGATTTGTTGATTGATTGGTTGATTGATCGATTGAGTGATTGATTGATTGGTTGATTGATAATTGGCTGAAAGATTGGTTTATTTATCTAATCGTTTTCCTATCGCTAATCGACTAATCAAATCATTCTTTCAATCAATTTATTTTCACAATAGACCAATCAAATTTTACCATTAATCTCACACTCATCACAGCTAACCAATAAAATTATCCCTTTAATTGCAATTAACCAATCAAAGTGAGATTTCAATTCTACTGCAAACAGGTCTGCGTGTCATTCAATCCGCAAAGCACTTGCCTAGCGACTGGCAGTATGGACAACCATGCAAAACTATGGGACCTCGAAACGGGAGCTGAGATATGCCATTTTAAAGTTAGTACTCTTGTGTTGAAGTTACTGGGTTTGAATGCATACAGATCCCCGCTTTTTTACGCCGTTTGTGTGTGTGTCTGTCTGTGTGCGTGTGTTTTTGATTATGCGTATGTAGTGGTAATAATAATAATAATAATAATACAAATACGAATTGGCAGGGTCATACGCAAGAAATAATAGCGGTATCTTTCAATACGGTCGGCTCTCAGTTGATAACGGGCTCGTTCGACCACACCGTCAGCGTTTGGGACGTCAGAACCGGCAGGTAGGTTGATGCCGGAAATGGGGTTTTCCAATTTAAATATTTTTTTTATTCTTTTGTTCGTTCAATCAATTATTTTCTTCATAAATTCAGTTTTCTGACCGTCCGCCTTTTATATATTGTATGTCTATTGCTTCATCATTTGTTCATTCATTCATCCACTTTTCCATTCTCCCATTCGCTCATTCTTTCTTCCATTAATTTAGTAATTCATTCATTCGTTCATTCATTCATTCACTTTTAGTCGGATCCATACGTTGATTGGACACAAGGCAGAAATCAGTAACGTTCAGTTTAACTGGGACTGCTCAATTATTGCTTCCGGATCTATGGATAAGACTGTTAAATTGTGGGACGCTTTGAGCGGTTAGTTTGCCATTAATTCATTTTTCATCTTCTTTTCTCATTCATTCATTCATATATTTGTTCATTCATTCATTCATTCGTTCGTTCAGTTCATCAGTCAGTTATTCTCTCCATCTAACAAAATGTAGGTCAGTGCATGGTGACCTTGTTAGGTCACACTGATGAAGTCCTGGATGTTAGTTTCGACACTACAGGTATTATTAAAATTGATATTCTTCTTCTTCTTCGTCTTTTTCTTCTTATTATTATTACTACTATAATTGTTAGCAGTAGTTAGTAATAGTAATGGCAGTACTAATCCCGTTACGTATTATTACTGTTTGTAATCTTTACACACACACACGCACAAACAAACAAGCACCAAACACACACAAACAAACACACACACCCGCACGCACGCACGCACGCACACACACACACACAAAGGGCAGTATTTAGCGTCTGCGTCGGGTGACTCGACGGCAAGAGTTTACAACGCACTGACACACAAGATGATATCTAAACTTGAAGGTCACGAAAATGAAATTTCCAAGGTCATTTTCTACTATTATGATGAGTGTGTCATCATCGTCATCATCAACGTCGTCATCATCAACATTGTCATCATCATCATCGTCATCACAGGTCTGCTTCAACCCTCAAGGAACAAGAGTTATGACTGCCAGTTCTGATAGGACCGTCAGATTATGGGACGCTGAATCTGGTTCCTTCATTTCTTCACTCATTCATTTCTTCATTCATTCACTCACTCACTCACTCATTTACAAGGTGTTTGCAAGCAAGTGTTGGAAGGACACACTGAAGAAATATTCAGCTGCGCATACAACTACACTGGAGATATTATTATAACTGGTTAGTAGAACAGGTTTTATTTATTCATTCATTCATTAATTCATTCAGTCGTTCGTTTAATCAATCAACCATTTGTTTAAATACAATAAAAGATTATTTTCACTTTTGCAGCTTCTAAAGACAACACATGCAGAATATGGAAATGATCTATATATCTATCTCGAAATTCATATGACGTTGATTTTCATTAAATTTAATTTAATTGATTACTTTCACCAAATAGCCTTTTTACATCACACGTTACTATTGCTATTACTACTGCTGCTGCTGCTATATAAGCGTGTGTACGCTTGCATGTGCGAGTGTGTATTCATGGGCGTTTGTATGTATGTATGTGTGTGTATGTTGTTTGTTTGTATGTTCGCAATTAAATATGAAGGTTTTATTTTTGTCTGTAATACAAACCGCTAATTTGTATGTGTATTTAGCAGGGTTTTGTAACTTGGAATATCTCAGTTAAAACATTTTAAGTTCGAAAAACAACAAATTTAATGAAAAGAGTATCAAATAAATGAAGAGAAGCATGGAAAGTGAATCGAAACTTGGAGTGTCAATTTTGGAAACTTTGGAGCTGAATATCCTGGACACTACTGATCAAAATTTGAACGACTCTGTTTTAGCAAAGAATGAATTACAATCAAGAAAGCCTGAAATGACGAAATGAACATTTTCAAGGGTTTTCCAACATTTCAACTGAAATCTTTCGTGGTTCATTTTGGCCAAAAATTTAGATACACTTTTTTCCAGAATACGTTTATACCTACTTTTATTCATCAAACAAAAAAAATACTGAAAATGCAGAAAAAAATTTATGATATTGTCATATTGAACAGAAATCAATTGGTGCACGCATACAACATGGCAGTAACATTACAACAAGAACGTAGTCCATAGGCAGAATTTTTGCAAATTTCTTCTTCTAACTTCTCAGTAATGAAAATTTTTTCAATGATTCATCCTACAACAGCAAATACAATACAAATAGTTCAAAATAAAAAGACATTGTTGATTTTCTCTTCTAAATATCAGTTAATCTTCTAAAAGTTATATTTTTGATTATTCAAACATGAAAAATCCCAATTTATTATGCATACATCAGTTGAGCAGTTGAACATGCAATCGCATGCAGTAAAAATTGAAGGAAATCAAGGAAACATGCACGCATACACGCACACACACACACACACAGAATCTCTGAAGCAATTTTAGTTCATGAAAACCAGCAAACAATCCTAATTCAACAAAAAACATCAGCTACATATCAAAAACAACTATTAGTCCCATATATTCATTGGTGATTGGATAGATAACATAGACAGACAGATGAAACATAACATCAACTTAACGTAGATGACGATCTATCTACTTTATACAATTAGGACAACACGTAAAAAGTGAGTGGAGCATACAACACGTACATACATAGAACAATGAAAATATCTCTTAAAAATGCAGCAAAGTTTTTAGTCAGACTGGAAAAATTAATATTAATCAATCAATCAATTAGCTTTGCTGATTGCCACATTAGAGACAGACATATCATCAACCGACCGACCAACAAACTAACCAACTAAATCGCATTTTCACTCGAATGCTTCATAAACGAACAACACAACTTAACTGGTACGTAACAGTTAGAAGTCTTTGTACACATATCTGTACACAAGCAGATATCATTGTTATATTCATGGATATATATATATATATATACTACATCCATGATTTTATCATATTAATAAGAATGTATTATTTTAAATTACTTCCACTTACCTTATACATTGACGCGTCGCTGGTACACTGAGAAATACTATAACACCATTGAAAATATATACGGGAAAAAGTAAGCAAAAATTACGTCGCAACCGGTAATCACATCATTACAAGAGAAACTACAGAATTGGCACTATAACCGTTACTCGTTCATCTTGAAGAAATTGAGATTTTTTTTCCATAAATGTCTTCGAGGAGAGGACATAATCTTCCAGGTGTCTGAATACCAAAAAAAATATATACAGGCACGCACGCACGCACGTACATACATGCAAACAAACGACAAGGACAAGGACAGGACAGCAAATATATACACGCATAAAACTCCAACTTCTAATCTAACAGAAACCTGGCACTGTTCCAATAATAATAATCATACAGATATTTTGGGAAAAAGTTTAGATGTTTAGTACTCGCATACAAAATCACACACACACAAACGTTCACACATATACACAGACACCATTTACACAAACACATGAATGCGGCGATGAATTTGTACAAGAACCAAAACTAAAACGACAGGTCGAGAATAAATGATACAATTATATTATATATATATAAATAAATATATATATATATAAATATATATATGTGTGTGTGTGTGTACGTTTGTGTATGTGTGTGTATTATACTACTATCATTACTGTTCCACATTACTGTTTTTCTTCTGACAAATAAAAATTTACTACAAAGATAAAATCGAAAATTATGAAAAAAGTCTTCTTGATATCAAAACAGTCAGCTGTATTTTATGTACTTACATGCATACAAAACAATACATACATATATACACACGTGTATACAAACACAGGCATACACACATACAAATTAAGGCAGCTATTTAAGGACTTCTGAATAGTTAGTTAATCAAACACACACACACACATAACAAGGCAGCCCATCTTTCTACAAATAAAATAGTTTGTTGGCCAGAGTGTTACTAGGTGACTCATGCAGGGACTGTCCAATCAGGAAGGCCACCTTATGGGCGTACTGGCAGGGGGCTGGCACCCTCACTGTACCCTGCAAGTGTTTGTTTATTTGTTTGTATGTGTGTGTGTGTGTTTATGTGTTTGTATATGTATGTATCTCTGTATATAAACGTTTGCTTATGTTCGTCTGTGAATATTAAAGCAAAAAAAAAAACCACAACCAATCTAACCTGCCAATTGAAATAGAGATGGCAGAGTTTGTAGGTAAGCCTCTGCAGGTGGTCAGGCTTCAGGCCAGAGTCATCGTGAAGGATGTTGTAATGGGTTGGAGTGACAGTGCCCTGGTTAACCGACTGACTGATGAGGAAGAAGTCGTACCTAAGCAGTGGGGTTATGGAGAGGTTACGGTTAGAGCAATAAATGAGATGAAGGTCAGGCGCCGACCTACTTACCAGTGGGGTCTGGTGGCCTTGGTGTCAATGACGGTGCCTGGTGGAGGGTTGGCTCGCCTGTTTTTGTCGAATGCAAAAAATCTGTTGTTGACTCTCTTCTTGACGACGAACAACGTGATTTTAGGCCTGTGCGGGCATGAATGGATGAATGAATGAGTGGTGGAGGGAAACAGTTTCAAGTGTTTCATTCATACATTCATTTTTTTTTGTATTAATTTCCTTTTAATTAATCATCAGTTACTTATTTTCATCCTACCAATATTTCATTAGAGAGGCAGTCAGAAGGAACTTTATGAAAAACATTCCAAACAAAAAACCAACAGAAACAACCGCCACCAACAAAACTCCAACAGCAGTGAAACAAACGAAATCCAAAACGAAAACAAAAAAAAAACAACCAGCAACAGCAAATAACAATGTGAATAATAAAAAAAAAAACCCGTTACTTATATTTGGGATCATTTTCATCCTTGCATCCCTCCTGAATCTGGAGAAGCTCGTGATCGTAGACCATTCCCAGCTGGCCGTCTCCGACACCATCCCTGTACACGAAGATTCTGCCGGGTCTGTTGCCGCCGTTGGCTGTGGTGAACGCCTTGACCAAACCTGCGTGAACATTCGTTCGTTCGTTCGTTCGTAAGTCACTCAGTGGTTGTATAATGTTGCATTAGTAAGAATACTAATTAGTAATAATAATAGGATAGATAGAAAGAGATAAATAGATAGATAGACAGATAGATAGATGAGACAGAGGTGGATAGATGGAGAGACAAATGAACAAAAGAATGAACGAATGGATGGGAAAGTTCCTACTGGCAATTGCAGCGCACAGACAGCTGGATACTTCTTCACCTTTCTCCTGGAATGCCCATGTAGTATGATACCTGCGTAAGCGAATGAGAGAATGATATTTCTATCTATCTATCTGTCTATCCATCCATCCATCCATCTATCAACAAATCCATAAACCAACAAATCTATCAATTAACCAGTCAATCAATCAACCAACTTGGTAAAAGAACTGTTTGTACTGCCAACAATGCCAACAACTGATCGATACTTCTTGGACGAGTCATGGTAGGTATCGATCCCGATGACCATTGAGTACTTCATGGCCTTAAGTGGCGAAAAAAAAATTCTAAGATACATACTGCACAAAATATCACAATTATAATGCAATAAAATCATAATAGCTTAATAATATTATGATCGAAAAAAGAATAATAACACAATTATAATATAAACAAATCATAACAAAGTTATAACAAGAACAACAATTATAATATAATTAAATCATAACATACCACAAAAAATGTTGTATAATATAACAAGAATCAATTAATTAATCAATCAATCAATCAATCAATTTTCGTTTAGCATCCAGAGACCCAGTTTCCCCGAGGTAGGACGTTATAATATAACAAGAATAATAATTATAATATAATTAAATCATAATATATCACAAAAAATATAATAAAAAATCGCCAACGGGTATAGAGACAGCCCATCCTTCGCCTCCGACCTTGCAGTTCACCTGGATGACGACCTTCGTGGCAACAGAGAGGACTGCCCCCGGCTGCTTCCTTAGAGTCTTCATCAGCATCACCTGGCTCGGTACTGTTTGATTGTGACGAAAATGAAGAAGATGAAGATGAGGATGTCGAAGATGAGGATGATGGTGTGATGTGAAGAGGACGACGAAAATGGTGGTTGCTTGTTGAGGTAATATGTCCGGCAATACTGACTTGTATGTATTGTGTGTGGTGAGGATGTTGAATTGATGGTGAAAATGTAATGCAATATAGATTTAAGGATGATACAAATCACTAAATAAAATCAATCAATCAATCAACCAATCAATCAACCAACCAATCAACCAACCAATCAATCAACCAATCAATCAACCAACATACTTGGCACATTAATGCACAAAGTTTTCTTGATAACATCATACCTGAAAATCGTTTAAAATAAGCAATAACGACAACGCTAACGTGTAATAATTATTAAAATAGAACCAAAAGACGGACAGACGGAAAATTCACTCTGGTATAATAAAATTAAATTCACTAATTGACAAGCACCATACAAACAATCCATTTATTACTTCTTATTACTACTTGATTAAAAATGAAATGCAGCGGCGCAGCAACTACACCAACTACAGCAGCAGCAAACAAGAACAAACCCAAAAAACAAACCACACAACAAACCACACAAAAACAGAAGCAGCAGAAGCAACCGCGGCGAACTTACTTATCCTTCTTTTCACTTTCCAGCACGCACATAACTAGCTGGTAATCCTTCCTATCAAATTTCTCCAGAGTCTGTATGTAAGATCTGTTACTCTCATCGTTCAAATCGTAACTGAAAACAAATTAAAAAAGAAACTAAAACAAATCTGAATGGCCAGAAAATGTGTAAATATTAAAAAATCTCTAGCCCACACCCACAATCACACACCACTCTCTCTCTCTCTTTTACACACACACACACACACGCACGCAAATAGCATCGCAACTAACACTTCAGGTTCTTCAATTTTTACTCCCATCATCTGGCCAGCCTGCACCAATTTTGTGAAAAAGTTTTGACATTCTTCAAAACGCCTCTTTGGGATGACCATAGCCCAGCGTTCGAGACGTATTGGTGTCAGTAGATTTAGGGCACGCATATCTCTGCTCCAATCAGCATTAGAACTGGCCGTGACCTTTGTGAAATAAATAAAATAAATTACTAATTGAAGAATTATAATAAACAAACAAATAAACAACTATCATAGGCTTTATAATATGTCTCTATAACAATAATCATCATCTTCATCTTCAGTAACACCAACTTTGAATAACCAGACATCAATAAATTAAATTGTATTATACAATAAAATGATTAAAAATAGAATCACTTTAACACATTAGCACCAGCAAGCACACACAGACGCGCGCGCGCCCGTGCACACATACAAACATACTTTGGGATTTTCTCGTGCAGACCCTTTTATTCCTAAAAAGATTTGTTCCGCCTCCAGAGTTCTGGCTTCTATTGTCAATAGGTTGGGATTCAATGATAGATTCCAGTTGGCTAAATCCTTCATGGCGTTTTGAGAGCTGCGTGGAAATGAAAAAAAATCACCTAACTACTTTTAAATGTTTTATGCGAGCGCCCATATAATCTCTTCATACAATCCACGCATGTATACCTGTTAGGCGTCAATGTGAATCAAGCCTACACGTTTAGAACATAAGAACAAATCCTTGTCTAAGCAGCTGGAAAAAATGCATAAAAACAGAAATCCCACTCAAAAAATTTCCCCTCTAACCGGCGTATCTGCTGGTGAAGCTGTTCTATTTTGCCGGACCTTTCGTGGGGCCCAAGCCTCGTGTGGGTTGATAGCTCCCTCATGCTGTGAAAGTTTGACTTGATCTCATCAGATATACCTGATGTATAAACGTACGAATGCATGCATGAATGCAGCTGTATACAAATGTACACACCAACCGGTCAACTAACTTAACCAGTGACGGTCAACTAACTAACCAGTGACAATGCACAATTCAGGGATCAAACATATGGGGCCATCCTGGCCAGCCCTCTTCTCCCGTCTACTGGGTACGCTCAGTAGAAGAGGTTGTGTGTCGTCTAGGAGGTCAATGTGGTGCCTAGTCCGGTAGTACTCTTTGAAGGACATCTGGGTGGTGCCATCTCTCATAGGGAAGGTGTCCATCGGGGTGCGACGCCAGTCGATATCGTCCACTCTGTACGTTCTATTGTTGTACCTGCAGGAGAAATATAAATGAGAGAAGTCGATGAGGGAAAGTTTAATGGTTGTGATTAGCCTTCATTATATAAATATTATAGAAATTGATTTACGTTGTTACAACACAAAGAAGCCCCAGACCTGGTTAGCACAATCTTTCCAACAACATCTCTCTTGCTATCTTCAACGTAAGAGCGAGGTCTAAGCTTCCTCACATTGTACAGTATATCAAGCACAGTTTCCTGGCCTAGGACCTGAGCAAGAAAGTGAGATAGGGACGAAATTAGTGAGAGTAAGGAGAGAAAGTAAGATGTGAACAAAATTAAGGAGAATAAGGAGCAACAAATTGAGAAAAAAAGAAAAAAGAGAAAAGAGAAAGGGAGGTGGAGAGAGAAAGAGGTGACGGGAGAGAGAATGAGAGAAATAATTGTTAAATTTAAATAAATAATCATATGGCTGGCATTCAAAGAAATATCTGCTCAACAATCTGGTTCCATTTAATTTCATCCACCTACTACTGCTGCTACTACTACTACTGCTACTACTACTAAAGTCTTCACTCGAGGCCAACCAACCATACAGAATAAGCAAAAGACAGACATGGTGAAGATATAAAGTTTCCAATGGCATCTGTCTGTCATTCACCCATTAAATAAAAACAACAACTACTACTTTTATTACTACTAATGCAACTATCACCGCTAATACTAGCTTAACTAATACTACTGATGCTATTGATTTAAGGAAAGAAAATAGCTGGTAATGTTGATTGTGCCTGACAAGCATGTACACAAATGACAATAACCTTATGGAGAAAATATTTCTCTTTTAAACTTCTGCCAAAAACAATCAAAAACCAAACACAAGCAAGCCAAAATAAACAAAGCTGAAGTTAACAAGAATATAAAAGTTGTCAGGCAGTCAGTCATCTATAACTAAGATAAGTTTATTATTATTATATTGCAAATATATATATATATATATATATATATATATATATATATATATATATATATATATATGTATATAATTATTTCTAAAGAAATGTTTAGAAAATCATTACATAATTACACATCTTGGGTGCTTTACACACACACAGACACATATAAAATATAAATATAATATAAAATATAATAAATATAATAATATAAATAAATAATTATATGTTGTTCTTCAACTTTATCAAGTAGTTTTAACCAATGAAATTATCAAACAATTAGCACTAGGTAATTATTTAACAGTAGAGGTTAATGATAACCACTTTATTACTGTTTACAAAAATGCCATATCTTTTTATTTTACAATAGAAAATTGCAAAAACATACAAGAAAAAACTAACTGAACTGAAAAATGTTAAGAATAATATTTTAATGAAGGGCATATGTTTAGTAAGTTATATCAATCAACTAATTTTTTTTTCAAAAACATCATCATCATCTTACTCATCATCATCTAATACAATCAAATAATTGAAAGGCTGAATTTGGACAGCCTAAAAAAATTGCCTATAAAAGCAGCCAAACCCATCTTATATTAGTGTACACCAAAGAGAGTACATACACAAGCTCACATATACACAATGAAAACAACGTGTATGCATGTGTGTGTGTGTGTGTGTATGTGTGTGTGTGTATGTATGTATGTATGTATGTATGTATGTATGTATGTATGTATGTATGTATGTATGTATGTATGTATGTATGTATGTATGTATGTATGTATGTATGTATGTATGTATGTATGTATGTATGGATTTATGTCTGTACATATATTTTTAAATTTTATGTGTATTGCATATATAAAAAAAACAACACCATCATTAACAAGTCCTAATCGAAGTCATCATCATCGTCGTCGTCATCATCATGTTACACACCTTATGGCAGATGTCAACCATGAGGTTTATTCCCTCATCATACTCCAGTATGGAGGTAAAATATCCTGGCCAGACCTTCAATCTAGGGAGTGAATGAATTGGAATGAATGAATGAAGATTAAAGGAATGAAAGAATGAATGAAAGAGTGGCTGAATGAATGAATGAACAAATAAGTAAATGAATGAATGGATGAGTAAATAGATGAATGAATGAATGAATGAATGAATGAATGAATGAATGAATGAATGAATGAATGAATGAGAGATACACTGACATCTAACTTACTAACCCCAACTCCCTTATGTCAATACCAGCCTGAGGGTTGAAATAATTTCTTCCCACGATCTGCAAGCCAATCTCCCTCAACACCTTACTGTTAACAGGGTGAAAATTATAAATTCTAAAATAGTAATTATTATTAAACTCACCATAATTATTCTATATTATTGTATTATATTATATAATTATATTATATTATTATAACCATTACCAAGTTATATTATTACCATTCTGTGAAACATTAAACCTAGAAAACATTAAACCAGTGGGAATGGTGAAAAACAAAAACAAAGAAAATTGTTCTCTATTGAAATCTCACGCACGCACACACACACACACACACACACACAAACAAACAAATGTACAAATGCACAAACACAAACAGTACGTTCAGAAATCAAGGAGACAAACTTTTTAAAGATGAGGTTATATATCTGCAAGACCATTGGTGAAGTGTACGGCACAGCATTTGTATATCGGATCGATATTTTGATGTCCTCTCCACTCCTCTCATTTTTCGTGGCAATGTCGCCGTTGCCTAGCAGCTATCAGCAATTTTTTGTTTCTAACATCATTTCAAAAATATTGCAGACAACACGAGCAACAGTTTCAGCATCAGTTAGATAGCTAACATCACCATCAACCAGTTTATTAATACTTTGTGTCAGGTAACCAGAACCGAGGAAATTTAAATTTAAGAAGACGCAGGAACAAAAATGAAAACATACCTTATCGTCAATCCTGTGTGACGTGAAAAGGATGGACCCGTCAAACTGGTTGCAACTGTCGATGCCAAGGTGCTTCTCAACTGTTTTTAATAAGTACTTTCTCACCCTTATGTTGGGAATATCGGGGACAAAATCAACATGGTACTGAAAGAAGGCAGACTCCGATTTGCGTTGGAAATTGAACAGGTTGGTGCAGATGGTCAGTCTCGTTCCAGACAATCCTGTGCAGTGATTAAAATTGAAGAGGTGATTTAAATGCACAAATTTTGAACAAAAGATGAATGATCCAACGTGATGGCAGACCTTTTTTGTCTAGAACATGGTCAGGTCGGGTTCTCCTTTCCTCATAAGCTTTCGCAAGATGACCACGACGATGACCTCTTGCTACATTCCTCACATCCAAATCTCCCATCTGGCCAACGAGATTTGCCAAATCTGCACCTCCTCCTCCACCACCAACTGCCCCCTGGTTTGGCTCTCCTCCAGCTGCTGCTGCTGCAGCTGGTGCCTACAAAAATTAGTAGTTAGTGAAATATTTAGTTTATTTACTGTCACTAATTATAAACATTTTATCTATACCATCATCCTTTGGCCTGGATTCATTGGTGGCATGTTATCATTTCTTGGGACTCTAGCTTGTTGTTGAGGTGGAGGCTACAATTACGAAAAAAATGACAACACAGATACAGTAACTTTAAAATTCAGATAATTAAGAACTCTGAAAAGTTTTGAATATAATATAAAAAAATTAGACCAACCCTAGCTACTGCTGCGGAACCACCGGGGTCCCTTCTTGCACGATCAGCCCCTCTCCCTCGGGCACGTCCCTGCTGCTGGGGTCGACCGTCCGGCTAACAAGAAAAAAAATTAATATAGTAAAGTTGAAAAATAGTAACCAGTGACACATCATCCAATCGGTCTACAGACGTTTGGTCCCGAGATGATTGGTCCATTATAAAATAGACGATTGATCCCGTTTTTTAAGACGATTGGTCCTAAAATCAAAGACGATTGGTCCAAAAAATTTTTTTCAACAATTTTTTCAATAATCCAAAAAAATTTTAAATTTAATTTTTAAATTTATTAAAACTCTATAATTTATTTTACTTGTCTATGTAATAACTAAACAAAGTCGTTAAACAAAGCTAATAGTTTCCGTTTCCTATTTGTTCGTTACGGTCTTAAATTTTTATATTTACTTTTTAAGTTTATTAAAACTTTATAATTTATTATATATGTCTATGTAATAACTACACAAAAACGTAGTTGATAGTTTCCAGTTCCTATTTGTTCATTACGGTTTGATCTATTTTGATCTATTCATTATTTGGTTTGATCTATTTATTTTACTTTTGATTTTCTGCAAAAATGTCCGATTTATGTGTAGTGTGTTTATGTGTAGTGTGCGACAGAACAGTCACTGCAAAACAACATGCACTAACATGCGATGTTTGTACAAGATGGTGTCATCGAAAATGTGGTACAGGCTACACTACTTACCAATATAGTAAGGCAAGACAAAGTAAGTTATTTAAAATTTAAATGTTTCATATTTTTAATTTATGATTTTTCCATAATTTTTATTATATAATTAATAATAAAGCAAATAATTTAAACTGTTATATAATGCGGTAAGGTAAGGCAGACCGTAAGGATAGGAGATAGTGTATAATATAATAAGATAGCGATATAAGAGATAGCAAATGTAAACAATCGATATAGGTCAAAAACTCAATTATTTGTAATTATAAAATAAAAGAACCAAAATAGTGAATTAGACTGATATAATTATAATATTTTACTGTTTAATCTTTTCATGAGTCTTGTAAATTTAGAAATAACGATTTCTAATTTAATTTTAAATTTTTTTAATAGATGGGAGGGATTTGCCACACATTTGTAAGATGTGTCGAAGTAGTAAAAAACCCTGGCCATCGACAATCAATTTCATTGTCATCACCCGCAAAAGCAACGTTGAACTCTACCGAGAGGAATAATAGCTGCATATCAAATAATGAAACACAACATAATTTGATGGAAATCATAGCTCCTACGTTGATAACAGAAAATCCATCAATTTTTCATGAACAAGCAATCGCACCATTACCCATAACAACAGAAAATGTGCAAGTTCCACCTAGGATTACATTTGAAATTGTTAAACAGGCAACTAAAAGAGAGGGAGATCATTTAGTTTCCAGTGATGGGCACAATTTGACTGTTAAAAGCAAAACAAAGAAAGGAAAGACCACTTGGGTATGCGCTAAAAAAACTAATGGTTGTAAAACTATAGTTATTCAACAAGACGATAACTTTACCATTAAAAATGAACACACCTGTCAAGCAATAGCTGGGGCTACTGGCCTTGCTAAAATTCGTGCAAAGTCTTACCAGGCTGCTATGGAGCAACCTTTCACTTCAGCACTAGATATTGTTAATAAGGTTAATTTATGTTACAGTTTAATAATAAAAAAGCCTAAATTTAATTTATATAAATTAAACAGGCTACTAGAGAGATTGTTTCGGCTGGAGAACTTTTTCATCTTATCAACCCACAGCATTTAGCTTGAAACGCTAATAGGTTCAGAGAATTAAAACGTCCAAGGCATCCAGAGACATTGTTTTTTGAATTAGATAATTCATTAATTCCACAGAACTTTTTATGTGCAGATTTAAAGAGGGATAATCAGAGACATCTCTTATTTGCAACAGAAGACCAATTAAACTCATTACGTCAAGCCGAAAATTGGTTTATGGATGGAACATTCAGCGTAAGTTTTCAATATTATTTGATATTTATTGAAATGTATTCACAATAAATTATTTATTTGTTTTTGTTTTTAGGTTGTAAAAAAACCTTTTTTCCAACTCTATACTATACATGTTTTCATAAAACATAATGATAAATATGTACAAATCCCTACATTGTTTTGCTTAATGAGCGGAAAAGCAACAAAAGATTATGAATGTATATTCGAATGGACTGTTGGAACAGGAAACTTGAACGTGAAGTCAGTCACATGTGAGGAATATAGTTTTGTTATATTTAAAAACAGTTTAAATATTTTAACACACATGGATTCACCTTATTTATTAAGGCGATTTACAAAAAGACTACAATGAAAAAAAAGAAGAGCACTCTAAATGCAAGTTATTATTGGCATTGCCGTTTTAGCCATCCGAATGGATACCTGGGATGTTTGAACAGTTAGCAGTTAATGAAGAAAATGAGAAATTGAAAGAATTGAATCAATACATTCAAAAAACGTGGATGGATGGGAAATTGTTTACGCCTAAAACGTGGTCGGTCTTCAAAAGGAAATATAGAACAAATAACAATGTTGAAGGTTGGCACAACCGCATCAATAAAAATGTACCAACCAACGGCTACAACTTTTCCAGCTGATTAATATATTGCATGATCAGGCCATTCGAATAATTTTTGAAAAACATTATTTGGTAAATGATATAGTTATAAACAAAAAACGACAAAATCAATTAAAACATGATCAACAAATTCAGGATATGTGGACATCATTTGATAATGGACAAATTAGTGTGAAAGACATGTTGAACCAAGCTTCAAATTTTAATAATTTTGATAAGTTATTGTAATTAGTATTTTTTATTATGAATTTTAAATATAAAACGCCATTTTAATTCATTTGTTTTTCTAAATTAATCGGTTTTTTCATTTCAATTAACAGTCTTATTTGTTATTAAATCAATGAATTTATTGAAGCGCCATTTCCGAATGAATCTTACAAACAGTCGGGTCTTGAGATCCGCTCTGAACGTCGTGAGTGATGAACAATCAGTCAATCGATTTTTGCTGTAGCAGCATTTCCGCGATGTTCATCAGCGCTTCTAAACAACACACAGCATATATGAATACTTGGTAAACGACGTATCACACAAAGCATGTGATAGGCGGGTATTCTTTTGTCATATTTGAACCAGGTCACTGCAAAAACAGGACCAGGCGTGTTTAACCACTGAGCCATCAGGCCGCCCTAAGTAGTTAGAGATCGAAGAAGAGTTCCAAAGAAAAAGATCAGAAAAAGCAATAGCAGATTTGGCATGAGAGTGTTTTACAGGAGTTAAGAAAGTGAGAACAAGAAGACGATCGTAGACCAGGGCGTTTAGGTTTAATTAAAATATCTGATAGATACTTAGACTGAGACTTATAAATTAAAGTGCAAAAGAGTAAGATGGCGATAGATACATAAGAGTAGAGATACAAGCCGCCGCCGAGTTAAAAGCTTTAGTTTAAGAATGTAATGTAGGTTCAAAATGACCTTAGTAGAGCGAATTACAATTACTGCTAATAATCAATTTTAGCAGTAACAATGTTGATAGAAGTTCATACTTTCATCTACGTACAATAAAACACTTATGTCTTTTCTTGATGATTCGACTTTTTTTTCTTGTTTCTTTTTTAGTTACCTCTAGAATTGATTATTGTAATTCGTTCTACTATGGTCTTTCTGATTCTACTCTATATCCTTTGACTAAAGCTTTTAACTTGTTGCTCATCTAGTTGCTCATGTCTATTTTTTTCATATATCTCAATATCTTACATTTTTGCACTGGCTACCTATAAAATATAGAATTATTTTTAAAATTTGCACTTTAATGTATACAGTCAATCTAAGTTATTTCCTAAGTATTTATCAGATCTTTTAATTAGACCTAAACGCCCTGATCTACGATTGTCTTCTTGTTCCCACTTTTTCTTACATCATGTTCAATCAATCAATTAGCTTATAAAGCGCTATTTCCGCGATGTTCAACAGCGCTCCTCAATGAATTTTGAAAACAGATGGGTCTTGAGATCTGCTCTGAACTTCGCAAGTGATGGAAAAGTAGTCAGAGAAGTAGGTAGAGAGTTCCAGAGAAACACACTCTTAAATGTTAAATACTCTTATGCTAAATCTGTTTTTGCTTTCTCTGGTCGTTTTCTTTAGAATTTTCTACTTCTTCTCCATTACTTATGAAGTTTAGAGCAGATCTCAAGACCCATTTGTTTGTAAGATTCATTGAAAAACACTGTTGAACATCGCGGAGTGTTCAAAACATCTCATTTACGTCATTGAAGTTTTAGGACCAATCGTCCAAATTTCTAGGGCCAAACGTCTTTTAGTACCAATCGTCCAAAAATACACAGGACCGATCGTCTTATAAATCAGGACCGATCGTCATAGAAATCAGGACCATTCGTCTTAAAAAGCAGGACCAATCGTCCGCGAGACCAAACGTCTTGAGATCATCCAATCATTATAAATAACTCCCCCTAATTTTTTTTAATGATAATTTAAACTTAGTAATTAAATCTCATTGAATCAATTTTTCAATCAATCACATTTCTGGCTTCCGCCTGGCTGGTTTCACAAATCTACATTTGTTCTCAGATTGCAGCAAAACATACAACAGCATCACCATAACTTTGTGCATTGCCGATATAAAGAACTGTTTGCAATTAATTTTAAAATGGCAGGCAGTCCATGCTGCCGCCACCACATATTCTTGTTCATGGTTGACAGAACAAGCAAAAAGTCTTCTTTCAACTTTCAAAAAAAACTTTAAAAAAATAGCAGCTAAAAATAGTGAATAAAGCAAATAATTTTGAAATAGAATAATATCACTCACGTTCATTATTGCTGTAAAATTCGCAAATAAACACTTCAGTAAAGACTTGAAAACAAAATTTAGAAATACCAAATTCCGGAAATAGAAATAGAAAGACCTTGCATGTAAAAAAAACTTGTATTATAGCCATAGAGTTATGAGCTAGAAGAATCTAAAAATATTATCAATTTTTCGCATTGCGCTAGAATACAGACAAACAGTTTGATGCGCTGGGAGTTTGGCATAACCTAAAATAATTATGGATGGTTAGTTAAAAAAAGGATTGAAATGAATTCTAAACTTATTCTCGCTCAGATACCACTACATCTTGCATTGCTACTTATACTGTTTCTGTATCGGCATTTTCCTATCTCCTACATGATGCCATGTCAATTGACTGCATTTCTCGTCTTAATGATGTCTGTCTCTAAACCATTGAATTATATATTTATATATATATATATAATTCCATGCTCTAAACAAATAAAAGTTGTCTAGCGCGATTAAATTTGCCTAGCAACGAATGTGGAGAGTACGGTCTGGCTTCGGTGAGTGCCAACCTAACACTAACTAGAATGATCCACATTCGGTTGAAAAAGTTCCTATATAAATTTAAAAACGATTAGAATTCGTAGTTAATGACGCAGTTAACGACATGACGGGAATCAAAGAAATTACCTGGCAAACAGTCACGCTTTCATGTGAATGTTTATACCGTTTTATTTAATGTGACAACAAGTTGGAATTTGACTTTCAAAGTTTAATTCATGGAGTTTGAATGAATCACAGAAAATTAAGTTAACTAAAACAATAATTATAATGGAAATAATAACAATAACGTCATAAGTCACAGCATTATTGCTATTTCTTAACACCATTCACATGCAAAAACAGGGGGAACAAGAAAAATCTGAAACCGAAAACTTAGAAATTTAACTAAAAATTACGCAATAGTAATAATAACAATAACAATACCAAATAACTTCAATTGAAAAACGTTTTGATAAACACTTGATAATTTAAACACACACACACACAACAAATACACGTACAGACATGCATACGTAAGTAACGATACATACTCAATACCACATACCTTAAATGTATGTACAACACCATAACCTTGTAACAATCATCAACAAAACGACAACAAAAACAAGGCAATACAAACAAAATAACAATAATTGTAATAAATAATAATGTGTAATAGCAACATCATTCCCTAACCAACATGTAGGGAAAATATCTTAGATTAACAGAGGTCACCATTATCGTTTTAATCAGCAAAAACCAACATTATCAACTTCATCACCATCCTCATCCTATACAAATAACAATCCTTACAACCACCTCACGACCTTCCACTTCAAGCTTTGACCTTTTTCAATTCTTCCTTGCCCAATTCATTTATGATGCATATGTGCTGTTCAGTGAATTCAACATATATAAATTATGCAACAATAGTGTATAATATAATATAATATATAAAATATACTACATATTAGTTTATATGGAAACTGATAATGATATCAACTCAACAATTCCGTCAGATTACTATTAAATTGAAAACATTGAGACAGTCAATCCTACAATTTAATGAGGAACAAACAAACTAACAAAACAGACAAATGAACAGATTTAAAAGTAAACCCACATCTAAATCCCTGAAATAGTCGTTATAGTCGGCACCGTATCCTATGATAAACCTATCCGGTATCACAAAGCCAGCAACTATGGGTGTGTGAACAATTAAACAAAATTCATCAATACACATAGGTATTATTTTCAGCTTCTACCTAAATTTAACTCGAAGTTGGACAAGAACTTGTGATAAAAAAAAATGCTTGAAGAGCTTTAATATGAATTTTAAAAGAATCTTAACATACAGTCAGGTGTAAAGACTCTCTTCTCATTCTTCTTTATTATCAACCTTTGGTAATAGAAAATTAAAGAATTAAAGAGAAAGTGAAAGAGAGAGAGAGAGAATAAGTGAGATAGTGAAAGGGGAAATGTATAATTTGGACATTTAAACAGTAAAAATACTAACATGGCTACAGAAAGAGTGTGAAAGTCAGGATAAAAAAGATAAAATGAGAGAAAAACATTGTTAACACTAAAGATGACGAGTAAAAGTACTAACGAGACAGTATTGACAGATTTGCAATTGTATTCTTTTAATGAGTTTAATAACTCCTTCATCGTGAAACCGGTATCTATGATGTCTTCGATTATGAGGACATTCTAGAGAAGAGAGCAGGGCAGAAAAAAATTTAACAAAATCACAAATTAAGTAAATGTAATGTGAGAATTTGTAGTTTACGTAATTGCAAGTACTAACTCTCCCTCTGAAGTTATTAAAGATGGTCTTCATCGTTACAAAGTTTAATTTTCCAGTTGAGTTCACATTCTAAATGAAAATTATTATAATAATTAAATTATTCTAATCTGATTTCCAATCTGAATGTTAATAAAAATTATTTCATTCAAAGATTTCATTCAGTATCACACTGACATTGCCTACCAAACTAGTTCTTAGTTAAAATACTTAAAACCTAATCATAAACTTTTCTATAAGATAAAAATTACTATTACTACAATGAATAATAATAGTAATAAACTAAAACTTTTTAATAGAAACAACCTCATAGCTACTAAGCTGCAGAAATTCGAATATGATTGCTAGCTCTTTAGATGAATGCCTAATGGCCTGCCTTAGGTTGTGAACGAGGTCACAGTAGAAACGAAATGCCCCTTTCAAAATGCAGACACACACTAGTTCATCTTTATCTTTGTAGATTTTTATTATATCTTCTGCCAGCCGTTCAACCCTAAAAAATGACAGATTATGATTAGATGTTCAATTATATTCAATAGATTGAGATTTAGTGTGAGTTTGATTTCTATGGTTTAATTTAAATGAGAATTAGTTTCTTGCAATCCAGTATAGATGTTAATTATTAAATGATCAAAATACCTAAATGTGACAGCAAATCACATTCACATATACAATATATCACAATAGAATGAAAGTTGTATACATACAAAAACCAGTAAAGAACAAATGAAAAAAGAATGAAATAAATCAACACATGTAGTTGTAGTAAATACCTATCTTTGATGAGCCCATATGGGACAATGACACTCTCCACATATCTTTCATACTGTTTCGGGATGCTAAACAGTTCTGGTTTGTACTCTTTATCAAGGTCTTTTATCTGTAAAATTTAAATCAAAGTTCATTTCCAATGTTAAATTTGGTTAACCAAGTAAGAAACTGTTTTATAATAGAAATCTTAAAGATTATAACAAGTTGTATCAGGTTAATAAATAACTTTAATTTTCAGAGCAGGTTTTTTGACACTCAATAGCAACACTCAATACCAATAGCAGCAACCAACAGCAATAGAATAGCAGTCTTCTTAAGTAATCTAATACTAATACAAATGTAAAAGTAAAAAAAAAACCTTCCCAATTATCTCACCTTCAATAAATAGACCTCTGAGCAAAAATTTATTTTAAAATCAGAACAGAATCCCTTACTCTAACTAATTAATGACTAATAAATACTTTTATTTATTTATTTATAAAATTTATATATCTTTTTCACAAAAAATGAAGATAATTTTTTTCAATATCACAAAAATTTGAAAGTCCAATTAAATTTTAAAATATAGATTATGATAATTATTATCATTATTTATCTTTATCAATAAATATTGTTTAGCGATCTGAAGAGGCCAAAAGCGATAAGCCAGCCAAAATTATTGATGTGGTAAGTAGTCTAGTCATATCTATGAGTCTAGTTTAAAAAAATTTTAAACCATGCGCGACATCAAATATCGCCCACATCATTCACTTCTTTGCATTCCTTATTTTTAAAACCTGAAATCACAGCAATCTAATCATCTGATGAAGTCATTAAAAAATGAAATAAAATCGCACGAGTACCTCCATAGAGCAGGCGGAGTCCGACATTTTAAAAAATTTCACTCGACCAGAAACAAAAAGCACGAATTTTGACGGTGAAACTAAACAAATAAAATCCCTGCTGAAAGAATATCCTAAAGGAGAGAGCATAGAAAAAAAACCAGAGGGAAAAAGTTTCCACTTCTCACATTTGCATAAGCAAAAAAACCTGAGACATTTTAGAGTATAACAGAATACAACATATTTATATATATATATATACTAAGCATACATACATACATACGCACAAATATATGTATATATATTATATAAAATACTACTTAATATATAATACTATATATACAGTAGTATAAAAGAATCAAGGTAAATAAGTACATATTTAAAATACAAATAAATAAATACATGTATATATATATATATATATATACATACATAATTATAGATATATATATATTTATGTAATTAATTACAATGACAATAAAACGAAAACTCTAACGGTGTTTGTATGTGGTCCATTCATGTTCAATAAAATTAAATACTCCTTTTATCGCAAACTGTTTTTTATCAAAAATTAAATAAATAAATTAACAAATATTTATATATAAAAAAATAACAAAATGAGTGATAAATGCGAAAAATTACTGTACAAGCAAATATTACTTTTATTATACTATAATAATCATACCCATTTACACCTGCATATTTGCACTGCTAGGCAAAACGAACTGCCTGGAAAATTATTGTTGGATACGTGCGTAAACATAATTATACATATTCATACTAAACGCATGTTCATATGTATGTATATATATATATATATATATATACATATATATGTGTGTGCCTTTATTTCATATAATTAATAATACAGGAATAACATTTAAAAAAATATTTTGAGATACCGTATCTTTTACTGAATCTTCAGACACAAGTTATAAATAATTGCGACCCTCATACTATTTTTAAGAATTATTTCAAAATGTGGCACCAGATAGCAGATATTTCGTGGTTTTTCTTATCAAAGCATTCAAAATACTACCATATAGCACTGATCTATTTGTAAACTTAATCATATTCAAGCGAGAGAATGTTTGCTCACAAAAAGTAACACGTTACGAACATAACTCTCACGTACACACATTAAGTTATGTTACAAAATGGTATATTTTTTGACAAGAGAAAACAAAAATCTAAATTCAAATGGAAAAATAAATTTCATTATAAGAACTCTACGTTTAAAAACAAAAACATTTGGCGGAAAAAAATTTTCAAAAATGATAAAAAAATTCAAAAAGAAATCTCATGATACTACCACTTTCATCTATCAATTCATTGATTCATTCGTTCATCATTCATTCATTCATTCTGTTTTATTCATTCATTAGCTCATTCATTCACTCATTCAATCTTCACAACCCAGACTATCAATCCTGTTTAGGCATGCTTCAGTAGGTTCTTCTTAACGCAGAGGGCTGTCAATCTTGCACTGAACCAACACGACGTCATCGACCTCATCAGCTCCTTCAAAATCTTCCAAGAGGTTTAAATTGCATTATAACGATGATA